ATCCAGCAAGAACAGACACTTAAACACTCACAGGAATCCTTCTCGATAGTAGGAGATTGAGGCGGAAGGGAGAGGCTCAAATCTACAATAGAAGCCAAACCGGCACTGCTTAAGCTCGACAGATAACTGACTCCACTGTTGAAGCCTCGACGAGAAATCCTCCAAATCCACAAGGATGAGCTCCCTATTCCAAGGCCCTTGGCTCCCAGTCCTAACAGGTACACGGACCAGTACTGTGAGTATCATAAGGACCACGGCTATGACATTGAAGATTGTAGGGAGTTAAAACGAGAAATCAAGGCTGGAGTAAAGTCTGATAAATTTCAACAGTATGTACAAAATACTTCTTGACAAAAGGGAGGAAAGTTTGTGGGACCCCATAGCTTTCCTAAGAACAACCCTCGCGGCCATCGAGTAGATAATCGGGGGAATAACTAGACACCAAGAAACAATGAGCAATCCGCTCAACAACCCCTTGATGGCGGTCCTCAACCACTCTAATAAGTCCCCCCGCCTGACCCTGCTAAGCAGATTACTCACAATGTGGGGGCAATCTACGGCGCACCACTCGAGGTTCTTTCTATAATGGCTATGAAGGCATCAGTTTGAGAAGTAACTAAAATGCCTCCACAAGAGCCCAGCCACAAACGATTCAAGGAACCGAGGGCAATAGTCTTTACGAATAGCGACGTAGTCCCAGGCATCTGTCCACACTGACGCTATGGTTATTGAAGCCATTATAGGAAATGTTCACGTGAGCTGCGTATACGTCAATAACGGCAGCGCCGTTGACATCACTATAGCTACTGTTTCAAGAAGATGAACATACAAAATCCCGATTGGCATCAAGCAACATTACCATTAATGAGCTTCTCGGGGCACACTATTATCCCCAGCGGAATTGTAGGGCTTCCAATCACGTTAGGGTCACATCCCCGAATGGTAACCTTAACCATGGATTTCGCCATAATTGATGCACACTCGCCATTTAACATGATTTTAGGACGCACGTGGATGTGCTAAGCCCGTGCTGTTTGGTCACCTTACTAGTTGGTAATAAAATTTCCAATGGAGTACATGATAGGGATAGTACAAGGGTGCCAATGCAATTCTCGAGAATACCTCCTCACGGCAAAAAAAAAGGAAAAAGGGCAGTGAAATCTGGAGTTGCCACCACCACATCGGGATGTTACTCAGTCAAACAAGGAGTTTTTTCAGTTGAATCCAAGAAAGAATGACAACCCATGGATCTCAACCATCCTCACCAACTGCCATTTAGCAGTAAAATAGAGGAGTTAGTCTTGGACGAAAAGGAGCCGGAAAAAGCTATCCAACTTGGAGTTTCTATAGACACAATATTGCGGGCCGAGGTAATCGCCTTGCTATGTGAGTTTCGAAATATCTTTGCCTGGGCACCATCTTATATGACCGGAGGTCCTCGAAAAATAATCGAGCACAAGGTGAACGTAGATCCCAACGTCAAACCAGTACAACAGAAAAAGAGAATCTTTGCTCGAGACCACAACGACTTCATCGATGAGGAAACACTCAAGTTAGTTCGTGCCAACATTCTTCGAGAAGTTCTCTGGCCTACTTGGTTAGCCAATACAGTCCTTGTTCGAAAGCCAGACAACTACTAGCGCATGTGTCAAGATTACACCGACCTCAACAAGCATTGCCCCAAGGATTGCTATCCTTTGCCGGTTATTGATCAAATGGTTGAAGGAATCACCGGGTTTAGAACTCTTAGCTTCCTCGACGCCTACAAGGGATATCATCAGATCCTCATGGTCCACGAAGATGCTGAAAAAACGGCTTACATCACCGAAATTGGAGTCTATTGCTATGATAAAATGCCGTTTGGACTGAAGAATACTGGAGCCACTTATCAGCGGTTGGTCAACAGAGCCTTCCACGAGCAAATTGGAGGAAATATCGAGATCTATGTAGATGATATGGTCATCAAGAGTAATCTCGATGATAAAATAGTAGAGGACATGAAAGAAGTCTTCACGATTCTTTGAAAAATCAACATGAAGCTCAATCCAAAGAAATGTTCCTTTTGCGTAGGTTCAGGGAAATTCTTAGGTTTTCAAGTCTCCAAGGATGGCATAAGCGTGGACCCTACAGAGGTCGAGGCGATCCTCACCATGAAGGCTCCCACGACGGTTAAGGAAGTCCAGAAACTTACCGGTTCACTTGCCGCACTTAACAGATTCCTTTCTCGTGCAGCTGAGAGAAGCCTTCCTTTCTTTAAGGCACTAAGAAAGGGGAGGAAATTTGAATGGAATGAGGAATGCCAACAAGCTTTCCAAGACCTGAAGGAACACCTCAAGCAGCTCCCTATGTTCGCAAAACCTGAGCCAGGGGAGGTCCTATATATTTACTTGGCTGCTCGGGAAACAGCTATATCGGCAGTCTTAATTCAGAAGAAAGACGGAAAGGAAATTCCAGTATATTTAGTGAGCAAGATTTTACAAGGAGCAAAATCCCGATACACTCCCATGGAAAAGTTGATACTAAGCTTGGTGTTGGCTACTCGACGGCTACGCCGCTATTTCCAAGCTCATCCAATACAAGTCCTGGATGAGCAACCAATTCAGCATGTTCTCCTTAAACCTGAAGCCTCTGACCGAATGATGAAGTGGGCCGTCGAGTTGGGTGAATATCATATCGAGTACAAGCCTAGAACAGCTATAAAAAGGCAGGCATTCACAGATTTCCTCGTTGAAATACCCCGCACTCCTAATACCATACTCGAGCCGCCTTCACAGAAGCAAGTGCAAAAGTATGCTCTCACGAATCCTCGAGCCTGGAATCTTTACGTCGACGGCTCATCTTGTGAGTACTGGGGAGGAGCCAACCGCACAACAAGAAATCGAGGAGATAAAGGAATATGATGCGGAATATTCTTATGCCTTGCGATTTGGCTTCCCGGTCACCAACAATATAGCCGAATACAAAGCAATGATCACGGGGTTGAATATGGCTCTAAGTATGGGGGTCCGAAAGTTAGAAGTTTTTAGCAATTCTCAGGTAGTTGTTAAGCAAATCAATGGCGACTATACCGTCCGCGAGGAACATCTAAGACCGTATCTCAAAAAAGTCCTCAAAATCAGAGATAAGTTTGACAAATGTTCCATATCCCACATCCTTAGAACTAACAACAAGAGAGCCAACGCCTTGAGCAACCTAGCTTCGTCCAATTTTGCACATCTCAGTCATAAAGTTTGGGTCGAGATACTCCCCAAAACCTAGCATCCAGCCCCGAGTATCACTCACAATCACTAAAGACGGAGATACATGGATGACACCATTTATTAAGTTTCTCGAAAACGGGACTCTCCCTAGCGATAAGTTGGCAGCTCGAGCGTTAAAGTTAAAAGCGGTTAAATATATCTTGAAAGACGGAATCCTCTACAAGCACGGGTATCTACTACCAATGTTGCGCTGCATCGGCCCAAAACAGGCGGCTTATGTCCTCGAGGAAGTCCATGAAGGATCGTGTGGTGCTCACATGGGAGCACGGGGATTGGCCAAAAAGGTCATTCGAGCAGGTTACTTTTGGCCTACAGTTATCAAAGACACCTATAAATTTGTGCAAAAGTGCAATAGATGTCAGCGATTCTCTCCCATCACTCGACAGCCACAACATGAGATGGTAACTATCCAAAGCCACTAGCCCTTCTACCAGTGGGGCACCGACATCATCGGCCCTTTTCCAAAGGTGGCATGAGGGCTGCGATGGGTTATCGTAGTCATGGATTATTTTACTAAGTGGATAGAAGCAAAACCGCTGGAAGGTGTTGAATTTTTTCTGGCAAAACGTGGTTTGCCACTTTGGAGTGCCTAAAGTTATCGTATCAGACAATGGGGTGCAGTTCGAAAGGGATCCTTTCAAATCGTGGTGTGCTGAAATGCAAATAGAACGTTGATTTTCTGTTGTTGCTCAACAGGACTATTTTGCATGGAATCCAAGACCAGGTTGCAAAATGCCAAAAGGGCATGGGTCGACGAACTATGACATGTCCCATGGGCCTATCGCACTACAGCTCATTCCTCGACTGACAAAACTCCTTACAGTTTAGTCTACAGCATGGACGCTGTACTCCCAGTCGAGATTGGCCTCGCCAGTCCCCAAACAATTACTTTTGACGAAGATACCAACAATGAAAATGTCTTGACGAATCTTGACCTGCTCGAGGAACGGTAAGACGCCGTTAAAATCCGAGAACCTAAGTACAAAGAGATCCTCAGGAAGCATTATAATAAGTGAGTCAAAAGCACTGACCTCGCAGTCGGAGACTTGGTACTTAGGAAGAATGAAGCCAGTCGAGCAGAGACTCCTGGCAAGTTATCAGCAAATTGGGAAAGACCTTATCGAGTCATTCAGGCTTCCCCTTCTGGCAGTTATCGCCTGCAGATAATAGATGACACAGGAACCATCCTCCCTTGATGGTGGAACATTCAGAACCTATGCAGGTTCTATGTCTAAGCTTTTCCTTGCTACTTGCTAAAATTATTTGCTCTATGTGATTTACTGTTTTTACCTTTATATGTAATGCTAACTCGGGTCCCAGGTAATTATTCAATAAAAGTCATTGCATATTTTCTATATTTGTGTCGACACTATAATATGACTAGTCTTTGAGATGGACGCCCTCTGTAGGGCCATCCTTGATTTGAGCCGTGTAATCAACATCCGGACACAAAAACCGAGGAACTTACCTCATATAAACCACAGATCGCTGTACAATAATATCGAGGAACGCGTACACGGTTCCTTGAAGAGAGCCGTGTATTTTACATCCGGCCACATATGAAAGCACTATATAAATTATACTCGACAACAGATCAACAAACGATGCCGACAAGGCTCGAATCAAATGCATTGCTCTCACACCAAGTGCGTGGTTGGATAAATACATCTATCTATCCTTAAATACTGAGATCTTCTCCCTTGGGGTTGAATCTAGATGGCTTAATGATGCCTGACAACCCTAACATTCTAAGCTGGTTAATACACTAGTCAGCTTATCCTTCAAGTCGACAATCTCCCAGTCTTGCTCATTAAGCCTCAGCAGGTGATCTTCGGCTGCGGTCCTCTCTTTGGCTTCTTCATCCTCATCCAGGTTATCGAGAATGGGAAGCGGGATCTCGCGATCGGCTAACAAATTCTGCAGGATAGCAGATTGTTTCGAGTAAAACTCAACTTCCTTGGTCCTTTTCTTCAGCAACTCCATTGCAGTGATAAAGCGTTCTGTCCTGACTTGAATCTGTTTCTCGATGAGGTTTAGAATGTGAAACTTCTCGAGAAACCAAGGTGACACCACGACTCCTCGACGAGTCTTTAAGGTAGCATTCTCCTTGTTTAGTTGAGTCATCTCCTCACTTACGCTGCCCTCCAAGGACAGAGAATTGTGGTAATCGAGGTCATTTTGAAGGAGACGACGTTGATATTCTTTTTCTTTCTGTCTGAAGCATTGTACTAGTCGAGAATGTATCTGAACATTGTAAGCTTGGACGGCATCCACTATATTCTTCTCGAGAGATCTCACCCCAGATAAGTCGTGAACATTCCCTAGTTCCCTCATTGCTGAAGAAACCAGGGCATACATGGGCAAATTCTTGGTTTGGTTCTCATCAAGGATCATCAAGCGTACCTGATGAACAAAGTACGATTCCTAACATGAGCAGCAAAAATAAGTCAAGAACTTTCAAAAGAAAAGGAGTCATAATAGATAAAAAGCTGTTGTTCAAAGCTACTCCAACAAATAGCACTACAAAAAATAGGATCTACAACCCAAAAGAAATTCTATTACAAAAGTGAAGTTCATACAGCGCCCAGGTTTGGAGGATCGGATAGTTGACTTTCGTTGGTTTCCTCGACTGGAGTTCAGACCGGTTCATCTTCCTTCTCGACCTCTGGCTCCTTCTCCTTCTCCTCGTTGCCACTACCATCAACTTCCTCCGCGGAATCATCGTCGGAGACTAACTCGACTCTGATGAACTTGTCAAGAAGATCCGGCACTCGTGGTTCTTCACCAGGTTCGCCGAGCAAGATTGTTGGGGCGTCACCAGGAAAGGAGGTGATTTCCTCGGGAGAACCCATCTGGAGGATAGCATTGCTCAAAGCATTAAACAGAGGAAGCTGTTCAGTCGAGAGGTGCAGTAGTCCATTCTTCATCTGTTCATGCAGTGCCCTACGAGGGTTTTCCCTTATAAACTACTTTAACCAGCCTGCATTAATAGTCCTGCCCGACTCCATTCTTTCGAGAATAGCGATAGCTACGCCATGACCACCCAATTGCTTGGCTGCCTCACTGACACCCAATAGCATTGGCCATTCCACCGGTAGGCAACATCCTCGACCAGAAAGCCACCAACCATTGCTGCAAGTCTGACTTAGAAATATGGCATTCCCCATATTCCCTCATTTGTTCCTCTAGCTCGTTATACCTAGCTTGCAGAGAGGCCAACTCCTCTTTCTTGGTAGCAAGTTCCAGCTGCTCCTTCTTCCAAGCATCCTCTTGGGTCAATTTTTCCTGCTCGATGAGCTTCCTCTAGAGCTCTGACCTGTTAAGCTCCTCTTTCAATTTCCTTTGGCAGAGCAAAAAACTGATCATCGAGGTACTCATCTGCAAAGCCAAAATGAGATATTCAGAAAGTGGAAAAGTTGTATGTTACATCTTCCAAAGTACAGTCACACTTACCAGCTTTAGAGTGTTCTCCTTAGACATAGCTATTGCGTTCTCCTTGAGTATGGGGCACTCATTCCGGGCATCCCCAAAGTGGTATATGGCAGCTGCAGCGGTGTAACTCGAGGACCCGGGGGAATTTACGGTGCCCTCGACGGTGTCTTTTAGCTTCTTCAATGGAGGTTTTGGCACCGTAAACTGTTCAAGATCAATCTCCACAGCAAGGTGGCCCCCATGAGTAAGGCCTTCAGGATTTTCTTTGGGCTCCTCGACCAACAGGGGCGTAGATTCCCAAGGAGTAGCTTCTTTTTCAAGCAAACTTTCCTTCCCAACATGCTGGTCATGCTTGTTCTTCTTCCAAACTTCTGCATCTACTGCTTTGACAAGTCTCTTCACTTTCCTTTTCTTCTTCCCCACTCTCGTCGAGGAGCTTTCGTCATCTGAATTTTTAACATTAAAAATCTTGGAGTCACCAAACAATCTAACGGAGGTCTTGCTCGACGACATGACCTAAAACAGAAGGAAGTAAAAGGGGAGTTAGTACCTTCTTTTTGCTCGATAGGAATCGAAGGAACGTAATGTTGCACGTCGGTCCAAAGAATTAAGTTTTCATACTTCTCGATGGTATTGATCTCAGATCTATACTTCTCGATTTTGGACTTATCTATTTTGGTCCAGTCATCTACAATAACGTCCAGCTCGTTTGTTTCTCGATAATCCCAGGCTACGCAGAGGTCCTCCGGAGCTTTCACATATAGATACTTAGGTTTCCACACTGGAGACCCATCGAAGAGCTTCACTATCTGAGATGCTTTCGATTTCAAATTCCTCTTCACATTATACCAATCCCTAAACTTGGTCGAGGGAACACAGACTTTAAAGAAGTACCTCCACACAAGTAATAGTGGCTTTACCCTCACTAACTCACACAATCTCATGTATCCGAGAACATCGGTTATCAAATTTGGGGTAAATTGAGCAAGTGGGATCTTATAGTGCTGGACTATTACTCCGAACAGAGGGAAAAGGGGAAATCTAAGCCCTAGAAACATGAATCTATCATAAACAGTGATTTTTTCATCTGGTGGAGTGTTAGCCCTTTCATTTCCTATGGGGGCTCGATATTCTAAATCTACGGGCAAATTGTATTTCTCAGCTTTTGCCCTAGCTTTGTGGGTGGAATCTATGGTGGATGCGAAGTCAAATATGGTTCTTTTAGCCATGTCTACCACAATATATGCAACAACAAGATTCAGACAAACAAAAAATAGATTCAAAAATACGAAAAGTTGAGGACTCACTTTAAACATGTTCTGGGTTTGACCTTTTGAATTATATCCGCATGGGATGGAGAATCTCCTCGATTGTGGGAGGATTGGGTTCTTCCGGTGACGAATGCGCATGAGCAGTTCCGACAGAAGTTGGTATTGGGAGCAGCGGAGAAAACAGAGTGCTTTGGGGACTTTTTTGCTGTGTATTTTTGCAAGGCGAATTAGTAGGAAAGGCTCTGGGACTTTTTTCGTTAATAAAGACAATCCTTCCCCCCCCCCCCACGACTTGACGGTTTAGGCGAAGTTCAAGGGGCAGCAACGCTTGAGAAACGTTGCATTGTCGGGGCACAATTTCAGTTTGGGCGGGATTCTGAAGCGAATTTCTTTCTCAGTTCGGATCTCGACCCGCAAGCGATTCACCTGGTCCATGTCATGTAGATTGGGCTGAGACCTGTCCATTAAACTTGGGCCGAATCCATGTCAGTTTTATTTTGTGTCAAATCTTGTTTATTTCATACAACTAACACTTGACAGGGGCACTTGACGAGTCCATATCCACCAAGCATTACCGGACAAGCCCATCCGCCAATTAGGGCCTAACCGACTTTGCAGAGGCGGTTCAGGAATAAGAACCCTAATGGGATTCGGCATCCCTCAAGGTAATTCCATGCCTATAAATAGGCTTGATATCACTATAATTGAGGTACGCTATCTCTAGCGCCGATAATTACATACTCACTTCTTCATAACCTTATTTTATGACTTAAGCATCGGAGTGTCTACCCTCGGGAGACCCCGGAGGTTCTATTTTGTAGGAAACCCAACCGGAGTTCCACTGTTAAGCCGGAATACAATTCAAGTCCTCGTCAACAAACTTTCTGCCATGCTACCAAGGGAAGTGACCTGCCATTTTCCTTCCTACCCCACAATAAATCCTGACAGAGGCGTTCTACTTGCACAATTACACTCTTAGGCGGCAAATACACCATGGTTCAATAAGAGTGCCTATGCATCAAAACTGAATATATACAATGCCTCATATAAGAACTTTGAATCAAATCATTCACATATAGATAGTAGGGATTAGACCCTAATTAGAGTTTAGCCACTCATGTTTATTGAACCAAACATGAGATCAACAGAGTAAAAAAGATTAAACATGATAAAGCTCAAAAGATTAGAGGACAGAATGGAGAAGAGAATTAGCAGGGCAGATTCTGTCTACTCACTTGGGGAAGTGTACTTCGTCACTTGCCGGAGTGAAAGTCTGCACTCTTCTTGCTACTACTTCTCTGTGTTCTATCTTAACTAACACTAACTACTTTTTAGGATTGTTCTAACTTCCCAATCAATTGTTTACATTTGCTATTGGTTGTCCTATTTATAGAGAATTTGAGAGACTTGGATTGGTTGCTTGTTCTGGCTTTTCTTTTGTGCAGCAGAGAGGAAGTGGCAACATGCAGCAGCTGAAGACTTTGATTATTCAGCAACTTGTCCAATTGCCAAGTTGCTGTCTTCTCTTTGGCAGCTCTTTTCCTTTTTCAGCCGTAATTAGCCACCTTCTTCTCATCATTGCCTTTCTTCTTAATCTTCTTCTCCGGCGTTTTCACCAATTTCCATCCACAATCTCTATTTCTTCTTTCTTTAATCCTCAGCAGCAATAATAGCAGAGCAAGCAGCAGTATCAGCAGTCTGCTTTCCTTCCATCATTATGTTTCTTCCTTTTCAGCCTCCAATCTTCTGCTCTTCTCTTCCTTATTTTTTGAGATCACTTGCAGCACCATTTCTCACCTCCAGCAGCAGCCATTCTTTCACTTCAGTCAACAGTAGCAGCAGGTGGCAAGTAGCAGAGTAGTAGCTACTTTCTTTTTCATATTCTCCATCTTTCTCTTCTTCCACTTGCAGTAGCAGCAACGTGCAGTGATGGTGAAGCAATTCTTTCCTTTGACAGCTAGATTTCAGCTCTGGTTCTTCCTGATTAACAACAACAACAGGAGACCTTGCAGCAGTGTGGCTGCAATTTCTTCTTCTTCCTTTGGCTACCTGCTGCAAAGTTCATCAAATTGTAATCCAGCTGCAACCAGCTTTACTTCATCAACAAGGATTCCTTCCCTTGATTAGCTACAATCGATCCATTCAGCCCTTGATTTCAAGCTGCATCCAATTTGGACTTTTTTGAAGCTCTTTTCTGCAAGTTGGCCCCAGTTTATCAAGAAAATCCACACTAGTACTCTGATTACCCTGAAATACAAAATTTGTCCAAAAGTAAAACTAATTCTACTTAATTAACATTAATTATAAGTAAAAATGAGTAAGAAATGCTTGTTAAAAGTGGTCTAATTAAGTGTTATCACTAGCCCAAAAAATTTGAGCAGAAAAAGAGCCTCAAGTCATTGGGAAAATTGACAAAAACTCTAAAGTGTTTCCATGTTTCGTATTATTTTCACCGTTTCAGAAAAAAAAAAGGTCGATAAGGTCATCAGATAAGTGTTTACGATTTAGAATTACACTCCCTTCGTCCCGAAATTATTGTCCGATTTAAATTTTGATTTCTAATACAACAACAACAAGGTTTTTCCCCACTAGGTGAGGCCGTCTATATGGATCATATGTCACCATCGTGCTCGGTCGAAATACAAATTGAACTAAAAATAAAAATTCAAACTAGATAAAAATTTTAAAACAGTAACGCTATAAACTAATGAGGTGGAATGAACGACAAGAAACTAGTAATGCATGTATGCTAACTGTGAGCAATGAATTCTATCCAACTGTTTGTGTAGAAAAGTCACCCTAGAATCATGAAGAAAAAGGGTAAAAATCACTCAAATATAAGATAATTGGACGAGTGTGGATTGGTTCGAAAACAAGCCTCGGACTCGGAATCGAGGACTTACAGTTTACTTGGTTCTAAAGGTAAAAGGAAAAGGATAAAATGAGAGATAATAAAACAAGCTAACTGGTGTTCAATCTATAAAAGTGGGAAAAAAAATCTCTAGCATCGACAAGAAAATTTACTTTCTTGTTGATGACACGCTATTACATAGAAGAAAAAGATAATGCGAACGTCCATAGGGTAGTTGTTACACCCCCGTTAACCGTTTATAGATTCCTAGCAAGAACAAGGCTAAGACTGCCTCGATCCAACACTCACAACTCACTTTCCAAGTAATAGAAATCATGCATAAAGATAAAGAAGCAAGTAGGCAACAGATTTACGGGTAAAAACCCAACCTCGTATTATTAACTCACAATACAAGGAAAATACACCAAAACCTACACAACACAATTCCTAAATCTCTCATCTAGATTGCTGGCTAAGTCACATCCAAGATATATATATGGGACGGCAATTAGAACTGCCCAAGAAATTCAGGAAACATGGAAACAAAGTTAGCATACAAAAAGGTAACCGCCGGTAACCGTTCGGGTCACCCTTCCCGAGAAAACTCGGTCACGTTCTCTACCAGCCACGCTGGAAACCCGGGACTGCACCCTGCATCAGTCCAGTTAGCCGTATACCAAGATTTTACCACCTGGTTCCACCCGTTCCCGCAAAGTCCGCGTCACCTGACCGAATTTCCACAAAGTCCTAGCCTTTCTCGAGATTCCACATGCCGGTTTCTCAAAACTCGGTAACCAGCAAGCTGATGCCCTAAAATCCCGCAACACCGTTCCGTTTCAGCCCAACTCAAGAGCCAACCCAATAGAACAAGGGACCAGCACCACCCGTCACTTGATTTCCTGCATCACATGCATGCCGGCTGCGTGTGAAATGCGTACTAAGGATTTAGGGGTCTAACAGACCTCCCCACTTGGAGAGGTTGACGTCCCCGGCAACTCAAAATGTCTTGCAACATACTCAGCAATTTTATCCTCGAATTGCCACAAGTCCTTAGCAAGTCCTTAGCATCAATCCACTTGGCATTCAGCCGATCTTCACCCTTCCAATGTACCAAATACTTGGTTCGTCTATTCTTCTTACTTTGCCCCAAAGTTTCATGATTCAGAATAGTTTCCACTTTCTTCTCGAACTGCTTCCTAATAACGAGAGGAGCTCGTTTAACTTGCTGCCTATCAGGATCAGAACCGTCCTCGACATACTTCTTCAGGAAACTAACATAAAATGTCGAGTGCACCTTCAACCAGTCTGGCAATTTAAGCCGATAAGCCACATTACCAACCCTTTCAACAACTTCAAACGGACCATCAAACTTGGGCACCAGGCCACGGCGAACCGATTTACTACTGATTTTATTCCAAATCTGAGGTGTAAGTTTCAACAAAACTAAATCACCAACCTGGAATTCAACATCCCGTCTCTGAGAATCAGCATACTTCTACATCCGTTACTGGGCAACTTGCAAACTGTCACGAGCTTTATCAACCAGCTCATGCTTTTCCCTTGCAAACCGATATGCCACAAGACATTGCCCACCAGTAGTCTGGATAGCAACTTTGGGTGGTGTCAAAGGTTGCTGCCCGTTTGCCAACTCAAAGGGACTCAAACAGGTTGCCGACGACTTGTGCAGATTATAGCAAAAATGCGCAATGTCCAACAAATCCAACCAATTTCGCTAACTGGCTATCACATAATGCCTCAAATACTCCTCCAACAAACCGTTGATCCTCTCCGTCTGATCGTCGGTTTGTGGATGATTTGCAGTAGAAAATTTCAGCTAAGACCCCATCGTGTTAAACAATTGAGTCCAAAACCGGCCACTAAATGTCGCATCTCTATCACTGATTATATCCTCCGGCAAGCCAAAATACGTCACCACATTCTTGAAAAATAACTCAGCAGCCTTATCACCAAGGCATGCATGAGGCGTAGCCATAAAACAGCATACTTGGAAAAACGGTCATCAACAACAAGAACGGGAGCCATACCTTCTACCTTCGGGAATCCACCAACAAAGTCCATCGAAACCGATTGCCATGGTCTCTCCGGAATGGGCGGAGGTTGCAACAAACTAGCTTCCTTCTTTTTTTTCGTTTTATCCAACTAACAAACGATATAAGACTTAACATAAGCCTCAATCTCATCTTCCATCTTCGGCCAAATAAACCTGCGAGATAGCAAAGCCCTCATTCGTTCAACTCCTGGATGACAAGCCCAGTTTGCATCAAGAGTCTCTCGCAGCAAAAGTCGTCTCAATTTTCCAACACTTGGTACATAAACCCGGCTACCTTTAGAATACAATAACCCGTCTTCTAACTAGTACCGTCTAACCGTGCCTTTCCCAACTTGATCCTTCAATTTTACATAAACAGGATCATTGAGGGACTCCACTCGAATAAACTCCATGAAATTTGAAAGAACAGCGGTCATAGAGGCAACATACTCCCCCACAAGTTTTTGACTCAAAGCATCCGAACAGCATTATCTCATCCCGACTTATGCTACAAATGAAAATCAAACTCTGCCAGAAGCTCTTGCCATCTAGCTTGTTTTTGGAGTCAACTTCTTCTAGGTCTTGAAACATGTATTTGCCACGTTATCCGTGACCACCATTAACGTGGTTCCCATCAAGTAATGCTTCCAGATTTCAAGACAATGCACTACCGCAGTCATCCCCAAGTGCACGATCTGAAGCATCAGTGTATACTTTAAACGGCAAACTGAAATCCGGCAAACATAACACAGGCTTAGTTGCAATGGCCTCCTTCACAGCTTGAAAAGCTTCTTCACAGCCCGCATGCCACTCCCAAGCAACACTCTTTTTCAGCAAATCCGTCAAAGGTGCTACCAGCTTCGAATAGCCCTTGATAAACCGACGATAGTAGTTTGCCAAACCAAGAAATGATCTCAACTCAGGAACTTTTATAGGGGCCGGCCAATCAACAACAACCTCAACTTTCTTTCAGTCCATCCGAATCTATCCTTCACTGAGGATATGCCCAAGTAATCTGCTTCATGCAAAATTCACACTTCTCCTTTTTAACATATAACTCGTCCTCCCTCAGCTTCACAAAGACCTTTCTCAAGTGCAAGAGATGGTCTTCAAGGGACTCCGAATAGACAACAATGTCATCAAGATAAACAACAAACTGGTCCAAAAACTCATACAACACATCATTCAGCAAATTACAAAACGTGGCATGAGCATTCGATAAACCAAACAGCATCACAAGGAACTCAAAGGAACCATACCTAGTTACCGCAGTCCGAACTTGCAAATATCCAGCCCGTAGGTCGATCTTTGTGAAGATCCGGCCCTTAACCAACCAATCAAACAAGTCATAGGCATTTGGAACCGGGTACTTGTTCTTGATGGTGGTCTTATTCAGCGCCCTATAATCCACACAAAATCTCAACGAACCGTCTGCCTTCTTCTGAAATAAAGCAGGGGCACCATAAGGAGCTTTAGACCATTTCATCAACCCACCTTCCAGCAATTCATCTAACTGGCGCCTCAATTCAACAAGTTCAGCAGGGGACATCCAATAAGGAGCTTGTGCCGGTGGTCTAGCTCCAGGGACCAACTCAATACAATTATCTGTTGCCCGTCTGGGAGGCAACTTCTTGTGTAGTTCAGGGGTCATCACATCTGCAAATTCATCAAGTAAATCAGCAACCGTCTGTGGAACATCCTGGAACACATCCAGTTTCACTTCAATCACCACGACTAAGAAAGTTTGTTCACCTCGCTTCAAGCTCATTTCCACTTGCATTGCCGACATGATTCCCTTATCCTTATCACCACCCGACTTCTTTCCAACACTTGAACATTTCACAAATATGGAACACTTCTCATTAGTGATCATGATTTCATCCAAATGTGGATTTGGAAAGGCTCTATTTACATAAATCCACTCCTTCCCAAGAATGATGTCAAAATCGTCAAGACTTCTCACAACCATGACATTACACAAACCAGTCCAGCAATCAATAATAATATTAAAGCTCACACAACCAAGAACGGCCTCCGCCTCAACGTTAACCCTTTTGATCTTACTATTATGGCTCTCAATCTTCAGCTTCAACCGATTCGCCTCACGCTTGGTCATGAAACTATGAGTCCCACCACAATCAAACATAGGCAACACTTCAAGGCCGTTAACACAACCTTTTATATACATTAATGAATTATGAACAATGAGGGCTCTAATCCCTCTAATAGCACACAATAACTGCAAAGGATTAACACGGAAAGGGGTTTCACAATCAGAATCATTACCTTGACTTGCAATGATCACAGTCACCTTCTCCTTGTGAGGGCAATCACAAGCAAGGTGAGGACCATCATACTTAAAGCATCCCCTCTTCTTCTCAGATTTCCCATCTGATGAAGCGGTCTTGCTCTAAGCCATCGCATTCTTCTTACCCTTCAGATAGGCCTTCCCATTTTTGTTCCCTTTATCCATCTTAGTTTGCTTCAGGTTACCGGCAGAACTGGACGAAGTCTTGTAGTCCACCAACTTCTCGGCAGCAGCAACGACTTGGGACAAATTCTGCACCCCTTGCCTATTCAACTCCATCTGTGCCCAATTCTATAAGCCTTGCATGAAATTGAAGAGCTTATCTTGTTCTGACATGTCCTTGACATCCAGCAATAGAGAATTGAATTCCCTCACATAATCACGGACATATCCAGACTGCTTCAACTTTCGAAGGGACTCTCCAGCAACCGATGACACATTAGTTGAAGAAACTGAGTTTTCAACTCACGTTTCATGTCAGCCCACGTTCCAATCTTGGCAGCAGACTCATCTTCACACCAAGTTCGCCACCACTTCTTTGCATCCCCAAAAAGATACACCACAGCAACATCAACTTTCACTTGTTCCGTCACAACCTTTGTGGTCTTAAAGTACTACTTCATGTCCCACAGAAAATTCTCCAACTCCTTAGAACTACGAGCACCACCAAAGGTCTTGGGTTCCGGCACTTTGAATTTTTCACCCTGAAACTGATCATTCCCACCCGAGGAAGGTGACGAAGAGGCCAAAGCTCGCTTCAACAAAGCCACACCATCAACCAAAGTATGAAGAACAACAAATTCTTCTTCAAGTTCGACCCTTGACACTCTGCCATCCACACTACGGGTCAAAGCAGCAACATCCGTGTTAAGGGACTCAACACCAATATCCAACGTAGCATAGGCAGAAGAAGTTGAAGGTTGATTCCGGACCAACTTCTCCAGATCCGCAAGCTTAGCCAACACACCTTCAATCAAACTTTAGCGACTGTAATCATCCGGAATAAACTGAGACTCTGATCTTCAATCCCAATTATCCGTTGTATACCTTCAATGAAAGTTTCAAAGTGCCCCACCCGTTCTGTGGTAGTTCCTTGTGCGTTCACCATGATGAAACAAGGCAGGAAACCAACCAATACAAATCAGAGCAACACAACAGAAAATGAAGGTCATCAAATCCGGAAAACAGGCTCTGATACCAACTTGTTACACCCCCATTAACCGTCTATGGATTTCCAGCAAGAACAAGGCTAAGAATGCCTCGATCCAACACTGACAACTCACTTTGCAAGTAATAGAAATCGTGCATAAAGATAAAGAAGGAAGTAGGCAACAGATTTACGGTTAATAACCCAACCTCGTATGATTAACTCGCAATACAAGGAAAATACACCAGGACTTGCACAGCACAATTTCCAAATCTCTCATATGGGTTGCTGGATAAGTCAAATCCAAGATATATACATGGGACGACAGTTATAACTGCCCAAGGAATTCAGGAATCATGGAAACAAAGCCAGCATACAAAAAGGTAACCGCCGGTAACCGCCCGGGTCACCCTTCCCGAGAAAACTCGGCCACGTTCTCTGCCAGCCACGCTGAAATCCCCGGACTGCACCTAGCATCAGTTCGGTTAGCCGTGTACCGAGATTTTACCACCCGGTTCCACCCGTTCCTGCAAAGTCCGAATCACCTGACCGAATTCCCACAAAGTCCCAGTCTTTCTCGAGATTCTACATGCCGGTTTCTCAAAACTCGGTAACCAGCAAGCCGATGCCATAAAATCCCGCAACACCGTTCCGTTCCAACCTAACTTAAGAGCCAACCCGACAGAACAAGGAATCAGTACCACCCGGCACTTGATTTCCCGCATCACATGCATGCTGGCTGCGTGTGAAATGCGGACTAAGGATTTAGGGGTCTAACATTAGTCCATAAAATATAACTGCTATAACACCTATTACATGAAGATCAAATTTACTGAAGTAGAATCTATGTACTACTATCTAAATCTATGTAAAAAGAATAGGCAAATTAAGAACTATCTATCTAGACTATTTCTAGGGAAATATGATTAAAAAAACAATAAATAAAGAACAATAAATAAAAGATAAAAAGGCGTCGGTTTTTTTTAGGTTTATGATGATGAGATGAGTGATGAGTTATTGTTGTGTTCCGTGGCTTTACTTAAATAGGGATTTTGGAAAAGGCCGTCTGCTACTTGCTTCCTTGGGCCTAAGTGCTCTCTCCAAAAAAGTAGGCAATTGGAATTATATTGGACAAGGATTGCATCTTCACGTGAAACCCATAAACCAGTATGCCTAACTTTTAGCCAAGTGATTGATTAACAAACCAATATTTGATCAATTACCTTAAATTAATTACTTACTCACGTGGGAAGTTTTTCCAAATCAAATCCAACTTGTCATTTTTAGCCGAATTAATCCCAATCTAAGTGTAAATGGAATTAGTCTCAAATTGAATACCTTAATAATAGGAAATATCCTGTAATTAAGTATATCAACCGATAAACTTATTTTCACATTATATTCCTTTCGAATGTATATTATTGCCTTATCAGTCGATGGCCAAGATAAGCTCGCCGATGGAAACAAAAATATATTTTAATAGAAACACCAACCTACTATAAATTCTACTCCCTCCGTCCCAAATGATTGTCCAGTTTAAATTTTATTTTTAGTTCAAATTGTGTTTAAAGTTTGTGGTAGTTACTCTATCTTCATGTTTCTGCAAAAAAGAAAAAGGGGTAGCCTTATGATAATTCGACAAAATCATAAAGCACGAAAGAAAAAAACCAAGGAGAATTTTCAAACATAAAGCTTTTAGGGTAACTGTAAAATTCCAGCCGGGGAGATAAGGCCAAGAGAGTTTTTGTATTGAGTCCAATAAGTAGCACCTAATGGGTGTTGTGGCTGCACTTATTGAGGATCATGAAACCAGGAAAGAGTATAAATCATATGACCTGTTGATCCACTATCAAAGAAAGCTAAATCATGATGTTCAAAAGCATCAATAAAATTTAAAATAGCATAAGTTGCGCTACCTGCAAAATCATGAAGATGTGCAAAATTAACAAGGTTCTGAGGATGATCCTCTTGCACAGCCTTCATTTCAATCATGGTGTTGAAACTCTGTTGAAGTTGAGTGATCTGCTTGGTCATAGAACTCCAGTCATTTCCACCAACGTTATCAAGTTGTGGAGGTGTTTCAGCATCCGCAGCATGTGCAAAATTCCGGTTGTTGTTACAAGCAGTCCATTTGTTCTTGAGTTCTTTGTACGAATCAGGAAATCCAACAAGTAGAAAACAAGTTCCCCTGTCATGACCTGTTGCAGTGATTACAGAACAATTCACTCTTCTACTTCATGTTATTCCAACTTCCAGCTTGATTGCCATTTCTTCTTTCATTTTGAAACACAGGCTTGCCAAGTAAACCAGTTGCAGGATTTTGAAAGCTCACATTGTTTCCTGAATTTCCTCCTTGATTGATCATGACCTGATTTTGAGAACTTGTAGACCCATAGTTTAGTCCAGCTGCTGTTTGAAAACCATTACCCTGACCACCTGGATTCACATTAAAAGCTCCATTCTCTGAGTTCTGAATTCCAACAGAACCTGGCTTAAGTTGCTTTTTAACATATAACACCACTGTTATATGCCTTGTTCACTGTTTGAGATGGATCCATAAGCAATATCTGGTCCTTAATAGACTCATAGGCCTTGTTAAGTCCCATCAGAAAATCCACCAGCTTATCTTCTTCATCCCGTGATTGCAGAACCTTGGCCACTTCCGGAGTACTAGCTGGCATTGGACGATAGTGATCATACTGATCCCAGAGTCTTTTTAAGCTGTTATAGTATCGTACCAAAGAATTATCTCCCTTACTCCAATCCGTTCCTTTCTCATGTTATATAGCTTGTTACAATTTGAACTTCCATACTGTTCAGCTAAATTTTCCAGATTTGCTTGGCACTCATAGCATACATATAGCTATTTGCAATTTCTCTTGAAAGCGAAGCCATAATCCATGATTTAACTGTCGAATCAACCTGCTTCCATAGAACATGAAATAGAGAATCTACAGGAGGTTCTGGACACTTCCATCAATAAAAGCTACGTTAATCTTGGATTCGAGGGCAGTACGCATCGCTCGACTCCATACAAGATAATTGTTCTCATCCAAATTTTAATCAAACCTAGATGTTCAGACGCGTGCAAATAGGTTCCATTTGGACAAGAGTTTTAAAAAGACTTTTAAGGCTAAAAAGTCTGTTTAGAGTTTAAAATGCGTTTGGACAAAATAATTAAAGTCTTTTCAAAACATCATTTTGAAAAAAAGAAGGCTTAAAACAGACTTTTTAGAAAATAGGCAGGGGGTATTTTTCAAATTTTTGAAACAGACTCTTTCAACTCCGATCGTGGGTCATAATCCGGGTCAAGTCCGGGTTATGAAAATTTCGGGTAATGAATATAAAGGAAAAGACGTTCCCTTCTCACTTTTGCCCATGCTCTAGATCCACTGTCATATTTCTTTCTCGCCTCTCCTTCAGCCGTGTGGCACCAGCGATCCAGCACCCACCCACCGTCCCTTCGGTTTTTTTTTCATGGGCTGATTGCTGCGATTTTGATGGTGTGATTTTTTGGTCCCTCCTCTGATTATCTTCGATAAACCTCAGTTTGTTCGCTGTGGATTCCCGGCGGTTGAGCTTCCTGCATTTCTCCTAACGCCTGAGCTTGCCAACCCTGTTCTTTGTTTGTTTTTGAGCTTAGAGCTTTACTTTGAATTCTCTCCATCTTTTTAGCAGAATTGATTTTATGTTTGTGGGTTTTTTTGTTTTTGTTTTTTGGTGTTTATGAAATGTATAAACATTCTCTGGGGATTTAATTTTGAAATGCTTGTTAAAATTGGGAGAAATGCTAGGGTTTTGTTTGCTGTAATTAGGTTTAATCGGAAGGGGTTTTGTAATTTGCATGTGGTTAGTCGGTTTTACATAGAACCAAAAGTATGTTTATCTTATTTTAGGCTCCATTTGGCGGATTTTTTTTTTTTTTTGAGCTATTGCTAACATGATTGCTTGCATTTTAGTCATTTTTGGAGTAGTAAATGTGGTAGAGTCACTTTTGAATTGGAGAAAGAAAGAAACCTGGTTGTTCATTATTTGTTTTGTTTCTGGAATTAATTGCAGTGTCTTTGGTTTTACATGAGGATCAGAATGAGATATTTTTTTAGGGTACGAAAGAACTTTGAACTGGGTATCTTATCCTACTTTTGAGTAGATCACTGTCAAGTCTTCCATTTGGAACTAAGTTGATGGTACAGTGTCTTGATCGTGTTTCATCATTTCTATCATATATTTTTGGTGATTTTTTGTCTTCAAACATATTAGGCTATGTGCATATAGTAGACATAGATGTCTCTCAAATTGCCACTTGGAAATTGTCATTTATGTATTTTCATCTCTTCATTTGAAATCCTTGCATGGTTGCTGAGATTCACTTGCTCAGCGTTTAGTCTATCTTCGAATTATGCTCTGTTCACATCGTTGAATTTTCTTGGCTCATGTGTCTTAATCTTTTAGATATAGTTCTGATATCTATGGTTACACTTAGGGCTTCTGTTGTAATTAGTTACTGAAACCATGTGGATGTTTTTGTGTGCACAGTACTGCTGCTTCTGGGCCCTCTTCTGTCCAGGCCTTGCCTTCTGTACTCCGTTTTCTTGTTGTTGGGGCTGATCCTATTGTCAAGTATGTTTTTGATCTTCTGAAATGGAATATTGTGTTAAAGACTCTGTAATTTTTCTCAGTATTTGTTTCATGTATTGCTGTCAAATTACTGTCAAATTAAAATTAGTCAAATTACTGTCATTCTGTTTTTAAAGAAAGCTTTTTACTGGCAGTCTTATACAAGTAATGATGAACTTTGCTGAAATTATTTATCTGGCTGAAATTATTTTTCTGGCTTGTTATATACTGAGGTTGTGAGTCCAACAAAGGATTGCCTACAGAATGTCAGAACTTTCAGTGTTGTTTGATAAGTTGATTGACCACCAGAATTCAGTTGACTTAAATGGATTTTTGGTTGTCTCTTAAAATAGCTTCAAGCTATGTATATCAAGTCTAATTTTTTCTTGAAATTCAGGACTGATAGCTGTGCTTTGAGCATTGCTTTAGCAGGTTTATAAAGTCCTCTAAAAGTAATTCTTCAACTTCTGCTCTTCCTGTGTTGTTATATGTGCTGTGTATCTTCCTCTTAATGTAGAATTTGGTGTTAGATGGTGTACATGTGCTGTGTATCAACCTTGACATCTGGTTTTTATGTCAATTTGTTTCTCTACTTTCAGGCCGTGGCTGAGCCATCAATTCCTTGAAGCAAAGAATACTTAATCCAATTAAAGGTAATCCACGACTTGTCAGCTTTAGTTTTTTGCATCCTTTTTTCTCAATTTTATCTTCCCTATATGTTCATAATTTTGGTTCGAATGACATCGTGTTTTATCTTCACTTATCTGTTTTTGTTTCTTAGTTTGTGTTTTGTTTTGGAGTTGCAATGATTTTTTAGTATTGATGGTACACCTACTGAGTTCTTAATTATGTTTGCATAGTTTGAGCTTCCATCTATAGGATAAGAGATTATTACAACTCACTAGCCTAGTTGATTTATGAAAATGTGGGTTGTTTATCATGCATAACTTGTAGTATGTATTACGGGACCTTTGATTCAGTGCTCTCTTATGATGGTATACTAAATTTAAGGCATTTTATGTGGTCATAATGTAACTTAACTAAGCTTCAGATGTCGGATATAAGTGAAAGTAGTAGTAACAAGTACGGAGTTTCTCGGACCGTTTGGACTGAAGGAGACGTGAAGCTATTTGTTGACTTACTGTTGGAGTATAAAAGGAAGGGCAAAATGAAGTAGAATAACTTTGGCAAGTCTTGGGTCCAGATTACAAAGATTTTAATGCCAAATCAGACTATAAGCGAACCCTTGAGCAACTGAGTCAGAAATTTCATCGCTTTAGAATTGACTGGAATGCTTTTAAGGATTTACGAGAGAAACACACCGGTCTTTGGGTGGGATCACCAAAAAGGAAGTTACGGCTTCTGAAGAACATTGGAAACAATTAATCAAGGTAATAGATCAAACATATCCTGAGTTAATAAACTATTCTACACTTGCACTAATATATATAACTATATATATTTAAATGGATACTGCAGACAAACAAGAATTACAAGAAATTCCAGCAACATGGTTTAGAATATAACGATGAGTTTATTGAGATATTTAAAGTGTTGGTTCATTTGGCACATATACTAAGGCAACGGGGCAAAGTCAAGTCAGTAAAGCTCAGGAAGCTGATGCGAATGTTTCAGAAACCATAAGGGATGAAGATGGTGACAAGTCTAGTGGTAAGAGACAGATAGATAGTAATATGAATAGAGAGGGAGACTCGAGAGGGAAGAAAATGTCTAAGGGGAATTCAAAAGAGGATGTGTTTTGGGAAGCTGCTATAGAAGCTGCACTTGCAAAGGGGAAAAGGTATAACGCGCAAGCAGCCCAAGTCTTGGCTTTTGAGGAGCATTCGATCGAGAAATGCATAGATCTTCTATATGAGCTAGAAAAAGACATGACGACATGGACTTATTTCTTAAAGCAAGTGATGCTTTCACTGATGATGCAAGGAGAAGGATTTTTCTGAAATTTTCACGCAAACATCGACTCGCTTGGATTAGGAGACTCTAGACTTGATAGATTAGTGGAGTTTAAAGAAACTAGTTATCTAGCTTATGTAGAACTGGGAACATCCTTTATATTTTGTTGATAGGTTTTTGTTGCTTCATATATTTTAGACTTTTCACATCAGCTGTATCTAAATTCCAGCTGTGTTTAAATGTTATATTATCAAGATATTTAGTTAATCCTTAAATTCCAGCTTTCATTGCAATTGAGTTGCTTGTGTTATATTGTTATGTATATTCTACTTGCTGTAAATTTGAGTCTTTTGGCTGAGTACTGAGTCTGTTGGCTGCAATATATTGTGTTTTTAATATCATTTATCTGATCCTAGCCTTTAGGTGAAGAACAGAGGATACGGTATTGTGGATTGAAGAAGAAGAAGAACCCAAGTTTTTGAATTGAGGCAAAGGGAGGTCTACAGGTGCTTTTCTAATTCTGAGTTGGGTTTGTTTACATACATGTTTCTGTATGTTTGTTAATTAGGATATCACATAGCACACCTTGTTTCTACCTTGATCCTCAGTACAACAGCTCAACTAGGCAAATTTCTTATTTTACGGAAACATGATTGTTTTACAGAAACTCTGTCCTATCTTATTTTTACAGGTGCTTTTCTTATGGATTCAGACGCAACTCTGTCCTATCTTATTTTACAGAAACATGATTGTTTTTAGTGCAAATCTTTGCAGGTCCCATACCTGGAAGATCCAAATACTGGAGTACAGATGTTTGAAAGCGCTGAAATTGTGGAATACCTGAAGGCCACTTATGCTCTTTGAGAATGCAGAGAGTATTCCATTTTATATTTTAAGGTTTTGCTTGCCTAATCATTCTGCGATGTTACAGTGTATATTTTCCTCAACTTTTTCTTCTGTTACTAATGAATGCCTGAAAACATACAGTTTCCAGACATCTAAGCTGTGGAACAAGGACTAGAGGTTGCTGAGATGTTAGTCATTTGAGAGGAGTAACTACTTCAGGCACTAGATACCTCTTTCTTTAAGGTTTGTCCTGTTTGTAATACATGATGTATATATATACTAGGGGCTTGTCCAAGATTTAATCATGGACAAGGAAGCTGGAAGTGGAGGCATAGTAGAAGAAGTTGATATGTCTAATCCCGCCATAACCCAATAGAATAACTGGCGAATGACCATAGCAACACAAATATGGAATGCGTGTCAGAGTTTTAAATATTGTGGAATTCGTATGTGTTGAATGTGTGAAATTTAAAATGTTGTGTATTTATTCCAAGTCTTATGAACTATTTGTTGTTTCCTTTGAGAGTTGAACGTTTAAAAATCTCTCAATAACAATATTCCAAATTTATGATGGATTTGATAAGTTATAACGATTTTAATATTATGCTTTAATTTAATCATAATGGTTTTTAAATTATACTTTAATTTTGATTTATGTTAGAAGATAAAGTGTGGGAAAAAAATTTGGAACAAGACCATTGCGAATAATAAAACAAAAATTTAGGAAAGAAAAGTGAAACAAAATGAAAATGACAATTTGTGTAAAAATGATTTTTCACAAATTATTTGAAGAAAAAGTAATTTTGAAAAAGACTTAGTCCAAATGACTTTTTAATATTTTTAATTACTAAAAGGATTTTGAAAAATTCTTGTCCAAATGCATTATTTTCCAAAAAGTACATTTTTAAGTTTTGGTCTAATAGACTTTTTTAAACAAATTTTCAAAACTCTTGTCCAAATGGAGCCTTAGTGTAGCTTCACGAATTCGTTTGTTCTTCCACAAGCCTTTGAGTTGGAGAAACTTCGAATCCGCTATTCTCAGCATCAATCAGAAAAATTGAACCAGTAGAATTAAATCCGAGGTAGAAAGAAGAAGATTCACGGTTTCAATTTCAGGTTCAAGAGCCTATGACTCTGATACCATGAAAATTGAACCTAGGGCTTCCATGGAAGAGCTTCGAAGAAGAGGAAGAAAAATAGAAAGTAATTTGGCTAAGTCGGTTATCTCTTAATCTGTGTGAAAAATGATTAGTATTGAATATGTCTAATAACTTACAAATCAAGTAGCAT